ATATTTATATTTAGTTGAATAGCCCTGCTCTAAATGTTCATGATTTCAGCTTCCTGCCTCCTCTGCTCTTTGCCACCTGCAAGCGCTCTTGGCCACGCCCACTTCTCTGCTCTGCATTGAGATCAGCTGATCAGCTGCAGGAGCAAGTTTATTCTGTAGTGTGGGCTGCACACAGGTGCAGCAGGTGCTAAATCATTTAAAATAATTTGAAATAAAAATGTCATTCTGATGGTGTGGCTCATCCATCAGTCAGCCAATTGTGTGTCATGTCCAATCTTATTTTGGAAAAACCCGATAAAGCGAGTCCGCGATAAACAAACCGCGAAGTAGAGAGGGACTACTTTATTCCTGACCTGTTTTTTTTAACATTTCCATTTTGTTTTTTAACCCCACTTTAAATCAACATTCTTCTGTTTTCCCAGCATACCCACTCTGATTCCTCAACATTCTCATCCTTTTTTTCCCATCACTTTCATCCTGTTTTCCCATCATTCCCATCCTGTCAATCTAACATTCCTGTCCCTATCTTTGCAGCCGGATTGAGTGGGTGTGGCTTCACTGGAACGAGTACCTCAGGGCGTATGAGGAATTCCAGCTGTGGCTGCTGAAGCAGCAACGCAGACTGGATGCAGATGTGGAGCTGCAGCTGGGCCTGAAGGAGAAGCTTTGGCAGGTGGACCAGCAGCAGGTTGTGATGAGCGATATCCAAAGCCAGGTGGCATTGTTGGAGAGGCTGCTGGACGAGGCTGCAGCGCTGCACAACAGAACCCAGGACCCCAGCGTGGACCCACAGGCCCAGCAGACAATGCAGGATGACTACAGTGATGTTCAGGACCGAGCCAAGGTGGGACACACTCAGATTTAGCCGAGGGATTCAGAAATGGGTTGAACGATGCGGTGACTCGAATGTTTTCTGTTCCGTTAGGAGCGTCTGACGCTGCTTCAAACGATCAGTGATGAGCATCAGATGTTCAAAAGCCTCGCGGAAAAGTTCCAGTTTTGGCTGCTGTCGAAAACCAAAGAGCTGATGGAGCTGATGGATCGAGACGACACCGCAGAGAACAAACTGAAAGCTTTAAAGGTGAGACGAGCAGAACCAGGACCAACGAGATCAAGCCACCCTCAGTCAGGGTCAGAGGTCAGGGTCTCCAGATGTTTCCCTCCATGTTCTCCTGGTTCTAACGTGTCGTTCTGTCTCAGACTCTGGACGACACCGTGGCCTGTGAGGAGAAGACCCTGCAGCACATCGAAGGCGTGGCGGACACCGTCCGGGTCAGTACATCACCGGCTGGGGCTGAGGTGGTTCAGGAGGAGGCCGAGGAGCTGAGGCTGGGCTGGCAGCGCCTCAGACAGGGTCTGTGTGAGGCCGAGGACGGCCTGCGCTGCAAACTGGACTCGCAGAGTCAGTACCTGACCCGGTGCCAGAAGCTGGAGGAGAACATCCGACGACTCAGAGAGATGCTAGATGGAATGGACCAGGAGCTGGAGGAGACCCAGGAGTCCAGGAGCTGCTCGGAGACCACCGAAGAGGAGATGGTGGGCCAGTGGAGGAAATACTCGGTACGGTGGCTGGAACGGATCTAGAATGAAATACCAGGTTCAACCAGAATTATAACTGTAGTTGAAAGCAACAGCATTTAATTAAAACTGCTTATTTAGCTTTTGATTGACAGCTCTTTGAGCCTTTAAGAGTCTCTTTTGTGTCTACAACGAGTTTGTTGTGTTGTGTTGAGCTTATATTTTTGCTGTGTGTGTTTCAGGGTGTGAGGAAGACTCTGGCAGGTGAAGAATCTCAGATGGAGCTGCTGAAGTCTCAACTGAAGGATCTCTTCAGGTTCTCTGAGGATTCTCATCACCTGTCTGACGACGTTCTGGCTGTTGTTAAAGAGCATCACAGGTAACGTGTGTGCATGTGTGTTTTTTTTGTTTGACAGAATTACTTTAGTGTCTTTAGTCAATTAAAACTGTTTATTCTAACATGCTGCTGTTTTTGTGGAGACAGATTGTCATTAGGGGTGTTGAAGCATCGTTTGCAGTTGTCTGATTGTTTTTTGTCACAATTTGTGCACGTTTCCACCCTCCATAAATTGAATAACGTGCTATTATTACATCAAATCAAGTAGTTTGATCAGGAACAGTGTGTTGTGACTTTTAGTGGTGTTACATCACACAAAGTAGGTGAAAAACTGTATAAAATGTCCCTATAGACGACGATGAATGGGATTTTGGCAAACTAGAAAACTCAAACATCTTTGGAGCTCTGCAGCTCCGATGCACTTTAAGGTTCAGTACTACAGTACATAGTCAGATTTAAACACGTCACAGAAATTTGGATTTTACACGCCTGAACTGGCATTTTAATATCTTTAATGGTTTTTACACAGTCCTAGTTTAAATCTGATGATTCTTGGAGATCTTTTCACAGAACGTTCAGCTGATAGATGATGTCACAGTAGCTTTTAAACTGTCTAAACACATCTTTAACTCTTATTTCTTCCACAATTTGTCTTAACTACATCAAATAATATATATTTCTCTCTCCTTTCATCCAATGTGTATCTCAGAACTGTAGATCTTACAGGTTTTTATTTTCCTAAATCTCCCCAGAATGCAGAGTGCAACCTTCTGTAGGCTTATTGTAATTCAACATCACTTCAAAACTCAAAGTGAATGATCTTTTTGACTTGCCGTAGCTCCTAAATAAAACACAGCAGAAGCACAAAAATCCAGATGTATGACCATTAGAGTCTTCAACAGTTTAAGAATTAACACGTTCCTGTAGACGGTCCCGCTGAGCTCCTGCTGCTTCTTTCAGAGGTTTATGGAGCTCAACGACGAGCTCATTCAGGTATTTATAGCTCAGAGATGAGCTGAGAGGGAATTCCAGCAAAACCATCAGAACCAGTCGGAATGAAACAATTGGAGGGTTTCATTCAGGTTTTCTTCAGTTCTGGAGCCTCTTCTACAGAGAAACGCATTCAGACTTAAATTTACTATTTTGCTGTGGTAAGTCTTTGCCTTTGTCGTTTGTCAAAATGAGCAGAAATGGCTGAACACGTGATGAGAGCTTAACAGAAATGACACAACTAAAAATACCCAAAGATGCAGATTAACAAACAGCAGTGAATCCACCACAGTCGGGATTCTGGACTCTGTTCACATCTGAAAACTCTTGACTTTGTGGTGGAACCCTGAGAGCCGAGGGGCTGGAGGGGAGACACAGAAACTTCCGGTCAGTCAGAGCTGCTGGTGATGGACATACAGAAGCCCCAAAAGGACAAAATTAAACATGTTCCTCAATGGGATCTGATATAATTATGACAGCACCTATTAATATCCACCTCTTTCAGTAACTTTGATATGTCCCTGACTGAAGAGAGCACCAAACAAAACATTCATCAGAATAAACATCTCGCCAGTGAGATGTTTGCTCTGACATTTGTTGGCCATTTTAGTTACTGTGATGACTCTATGATAATCCCATAGGAGTATGCTGGACTTTTTCAACATAAACAGACAGAACTTTTATAAAACCCAGATGAATACGAGGACAGAGCTGTTCTTTCGAGATAAAATCAGGAAGTTGAAAGTTTTAGTTCCTGCAGAACTTCAGAAATGGTTTGAGTTCCTCAGAAAACTTTTGGGTTTTAGAACAAAGCTGAAGGTTTTGATGAGGTTAACGCCAATTTCTAGACATCCCCTGTTGCCATGGAAACGACACAGGTATCAGTATGTGCTCCGTTGTCAAACCCCAGCGGTATCTGCTCACAGTCTGATGTGAAACATCAGAACGTCTGAGTTCTTGATGAGGTTTTACCGGACTGAACTCTTTAAACTCAGAGTCCGGGGTTCTGAGTTCTGTGTTCTCATGTTCGGTTGTCATGTGTCTCAGTGTGAAATGCCGAGCGAACCGGCTGTGTTCGGAGTCGGAGCTGGAGCTGAGGAGCTTCCTGCAGGACCCCCTGCTGCTCTTCTCTCGGTGGAGCCACTCCGTCTCGCAGGTGATGGAGGACTCCAACAACATCTCCGACTTCTCCAGGACCAGCGTGCTGCTGCAGAGGATCCAGGTAACACATCCAAGATGGCAGCTTTGTATGAAGACATTAATGTCCTAACATGTATGTACATTTAAACCTCGTCAGAGTTAGATCAGAGGTTCTGAAGCTCTGTGGGTCCATCAGAAATCCATCTGGTTCCTGTCTGAAATTAAAAATGTTAATTCTGTGTCCTCTCTGTCCTCTCCATCAGTGTCTCCTGAAGGACAGTGTCCAGCTTCAGGAGCGTCTCAGTATGCTGCAGGTTAAGAGGGACCTGCTGGATTCCGTGTTCGGTCCTGAGAGGTCCGACGGGCTGCAGGAGGAGCTGAGCGCCGCCGTCAGGAACAGAGAGCTGCTGCACACTCAGCTGCTGCAGAGGAAGAGCCGACTGGAGGTACGACTGGAGACTGACTGTCCTCTGTCTTTATGTCCTCCTGTTCTCCGTCTGTGTGTCCTTTTTTTCATTTCTCCATGTCTTCTGTCCTCAGGTCATTTTCCTTAGCCCACTGTCTCAAGTTTTCTGTCCTTTGTCCTCAGGTTCTGTTTTTATATCCTTTGTTCTCATGCTCTCAGGTTCTCCGTCCCCATATCCTCTGTTCTCAAACCCTTTATGTCCTCTTGTCTTTATGTCCTGTTCTCTGGCTTTGTGTCCTTTTTTTTTATTTCCCCATGTCTTTTCCCCTCAGGTCATTTTCCTTAGCTCACTGTCTCAAGTCTTCTGTCCTTTGTCCTCATACCTTCAGTTTCTCCATTCTCATGTCCTCTGCCTCATGTCTCATGTCTTTTGTTTTTGTTTCCTCATGTCCTATGCCCTCATTTCCTGTCTTCATGTCTTTGTTTTCTTTGTTGTTTCCTCAGTTCTTGTTTTTTATGTTGTCATGTTCTATGTGTGTTTTCTCTATTAGGTCTCAGTCCTTGTCTACTCCTGTGCATCCTCACCTCCTCTGTCCTTGTCTCTGTGGTGGGAGGAGCTAAGACGTAAAAACAGGAAGTTGGGATGTACAAATAAGGAGCAGAGATGAAGCTTTTATCTGGTTCTCTTCTCTGAGTTTCATGTTTGAATCTGAATGAACCAAACAGCTGAGATCTAATGGAAACATGGCAGCAGATATTCAGACCTGATTTATTATTAATTTAATCGATCAAACTTTTAACAAAACACCAAATAAATATAGACAGAGGTGAGGATTTGGCTCTCAGCAGCTTCAGCTCGTTCATTTTTATCCTCTGGATTTAAACTTTGTTTCTGAACGGCTCTAGTTTCTGTCCATCAGCTCCCTCCTGCTGTGTTTGGAGGACGCAGGATCCCCGTTGGAAACTCAGCACAGATTCCTGCCTCTGATTGGACAGAGTTGTGTCTTAACATGCGGTGAAATGCAGGTCCGGTATCTCCACAGTGAGAAGACAGCATGTCGGCTGTTTTCCCTGTTTGTGTCCTCCACGTTGTTTCCTCTCATCCGTCTGACTCATTTATCTGAGAGCTCCAACCAACAGGAAGACGTCAGGTTGGAGGACAGCTCGGCTGCTCTGATTGGCTGTTTTTGACGAGTCCCATCAATAATTCAACCTGACTGAAGACCTCAGAATCTGATGTTTAAAATTTAGCTTTTATGGAACTTGTTTTTGTCTCTCAGGGTTTAATTTCTCGAACCGAAGACTTTGATGAGGCATACCGGCTGATTCTGTCCAAACTGGTGGCGTTCAGGGAGCGACTGCAGGCAGCTGACGTCCTCCAGCCCGACATCCTCGCTAAGAAACGCCAGCTGGACCAGTTGGTGGTAGGTCCCATTCAGATTCAGGTCAAAGAGAACCTTTAGGACCATCTTGCAGCTCTGACTGATTTTCTGATCCTCAGAGTAACATTCAGACCCTGAGCGGAGCCTGCGGGAGGTCCAGCTGCTCCAGAACCTCCCTGCTGCAGAATGACCGTGTCCCTGTGTGTTTCCAGGTTGTTCAGAAGGAGCTGGAGGATGGTGAGGCCCAGCTGATGGCACTGGAGACGCTGGTTTCCTCCTGCCAGAGCAGCAGGACTCAGTATGAGAAGCTGTGTGCTGATTGGACCGAGCTGCTGAGGAGGGTCACGGTGAGATGGTGTTTCTTCACCTGTACGATCAGCTGACCTCAGGGTCACGTGGTGCAGATTTAGCTGAGGTCGATGTGTTTTTGGGGTTGTATGCCCTCAGTTTTGTCTTCGGCAGATTAGGACCAGATGATTACCTCCAGATTATTTCACTTATTTATTTATTATACAAAACAGGAAGTAGATTAAGCTAGATAAATTCAGCCTCACGTTACATGAAATTTATCTTTGTTTTTTGTTTTTTTTAAGTTCTTATGGTAAAGTAGAAAATTTAATGATATTTGTGTTCAGGTAAAAGTTCAAGAGGCCGAGGACACCGTCTCAGACCACGAGCGTTTCCACGGTAACCTGTTGAACATGGAGAAGTGGATGATGGTGATGAGACAGAAGCTGGAGTCATTCTGCAGCACGTCAGGAGGGTGGAGCGTGGAGGGGCGCCGAGCTGAGGCTCAGGTCAGTGTTCTGACCGACCCGAGGACGCCATCAGTCGGTCCTGAGGGGGTCAGGTTCTAAAGGTTCTGCAAGAGGAGGCATCTGAGTGTGAAAACGTGAAACAGACAAAATAACCCTCCATGAATCGGTTAAAATATGAACCATTTGAATCACTGTTTGGATCTGGTTTAGACCTGTTCCTAGGTGAGGACAGGCCCACTGGGTCAGAGTGGTTCTGACTGAAATCAGTTAAATTTGATGATAAAACCAGTTTGATTTCTCTGAACGCTGCATGTTTCTCCCCAGAGGGCGCTGGACGAGTTCCCTGAGACCGACCTCCAGATGCACCAGATGTATGTTCAGGTCCAGAAGGTTCTGAACAGAACCTCTTGTGATGGGCAGGTCCACATCCAGAAAGACATGAAGCGCCTCAGCGAGCTCTGGATGTCCCTTCAAGGGCTGAGTCTGAATCTGCGCAGGTAGTAGTCGGAGCTAGTGATGAAGTGGGTGGTTTTGTAAAAAGGGTTGATCCGGGTCAGACTGAATGTCTCTGTGTTCTGTCAGGCTGCTGGAAGGTTCCACAGAGACTGACTCTGGATCAGCAGAGAGGAGGATACGACTGGAAGCAGAACATCCAGAGACGGTCAGCAGGCTCGGCTCTGCAGAACTGGAAGTGATTGGTTCTGGTATCGGATCATCAGACGGTCTCAGGGTGAGACGTTCCTCGAGAGGAGGTGATCCAGATGCTGAGGAGACATCCAGGTCCAGAGTGGAAGTGATTGGTTCTGGTATCGGATCATCAGACGGTCTCAGAGTGAGACGTTCCTCAGGAGGAGGTGATCCAGATGCTGAGAAGACATCCGGGTCCAGAGCGGAAGTGATT